TCCTCCTCCTTCTCCTCCTCCCTCCTTCGTTCCTTTTCTTACAAATGATTCCTCCTGTCGCAACCCGAGGCTGGTCGAAAGGGCGAGGCGGGGCAGTCGTATCGCTTGAAATTTCCTTACCATTTACGAGCCTGGAGCTTCGAAGCTGGCAACAGTTTCGCAGATGGAGGACGATTGGCTTCCAGAATGTGGCTCTCACCTTCGTGCCGCGCACATTCGTTTTAGAACTGTTCAAAGAGTTGCACGGATTGAGGTGGCTCTCGGTTTAGCGCCGCGCATCTTCCTTTTAGCAGTTCGCCAGCGTTTCACGGATTGAGGGCGGTTCGTTCTCAAAATGCGGCTCTCTCCTTACCGCCGCGTATACTCCTTTTGAACCTTTGCAAGAGTTTCACGGATTGAGGGCGGTTCGTTTTCACAGTGCGGCTCTCTCCTTAGCTCCGCGCGCATCCGTTTAAACACTTCGCAATCATTCCAATGATTGTCATGATTAACGTACCAGACATGGTGTTTTGAAACGATTCAGGAGAGTTCGAGTCCCAGGAATGGCGTTCTGGTTTGCCAAGACGTGCCAGGTTAACTCGTGGCGTTGGAATCGTCATTTTGGCACGCTTTAGGGCTTTCACACGGTAGTCCCCCTACGGGGCAATCCCTTTACTGGAAATAACCCGTTGTAGGAGCTTACGAAGAGGGAGCTAGGGAGGGGAGGGGTGTATTCCAACATCGTTGATGAGTCTTGGGTTTGCACTGCCCCTCCTCGCTTCTCCTCCTCCCAGCTGCCGTCCCGGCCCGAGTCCCTTGGTGCAGGTTCCAGGAACTTGCGATCTCTTCGGGACTACCGCAAGACGCGCCGACCCGCCATTCCAGCGTGTGGACGGCCGTGCCCCACGCAGGGGACGATCGCCACCACGCACCGCACAGTCAAACCAGCGTGGCACCGCCGCCTGAGAGCGCAGAGAGGGATCGTCAGAGTCTTCCTCCGCATCGCAGCAGCCAGAGAATTGCTCGACAAGCACCGCAGCTCGATGGTGCAGTTCAACACCAGCCAGCAAACCAGTCGTCCCCGGGCAAAGTTTTAGTCATGCAGCAAGTGCCAGAGGACTAACATATGTCCCAGCAGGAAGTGCAGATTCTGCATTCCAGAGCTAGACAACAGCAGAGATATTATTCCGGACGGGGTAGACTCATCACCGCCGTGGATCTTCCAGTCTCGCACGAGGAAGCCACAGTGGTCTACGAGTTGAACGCACCAGGGGCAATGGTGGCACGATGATGCAGCAGGAGGACCACGCCCTAGACGGGCCAGATCAGGACATGCTCTAGAGAGGAGATCGAGGGACCAACTCACGCCACCGTTGCCGAGTCCAGCTCAGCCAGCGGAAGCTATGAAGCATCGGTTATGGTTGCCAATGCTTACGACGAAGCAGGATCTCATCGCACATCGAGACCCGTTGAAGATCAGCCTCGACGGACTTGAGAAGCATATCAACAGCGCCTGCCAGATAGGCCAACGCTCGGCCCGCATTGCAGAGCTCGAGCAGGATTATGCGGTCACCCTCTACATGATCATGTACGCCAGGGACCCGAAGGCCCGCGCAGAGCAGCAGAAAGCGTACGTCGACACGATCAGGAAGCGCTTGAATGATGCTCAGAGAGCTGAGGACAAACGCTCGACGAACACAAGAAGTCAGGCACCCTCACGCAGGCGCTCTTCGAGGACGTGCAGAAAGCAGAGGATATGCAATCTCAGTTCGAACGCCTTGAGGAAGAAGATGATGGAGAAGACGTTGCATGCCCGGGCGCAATAAGTACCACCAACGCCAGAGGCAGCTCCAACATGGGCCATGCCGCCTACGAGTGCCAGCCAGAGCCTCGACCAGACGGCCGCCGCGGCTGCGTGCGTCGCTGCGAGCCGCCGACGTCGACCTGGCAGTCCAGGTCAGCGGCCTCGCCGCCCGGATGGCGAAAATCCAGCAGGCCCTCGCGGCTGTCATCGTCGACGCCTCGCCGGCGCAGCCGGCGGGGCATGGCCAGTTGCCGGCGCCTGCGAGCCAATTGGCCCGCGTAGGCGCGGCTCCAGCCCAGCTGGCAGCAGCGCCCGCGTTATGGCCGCCGCATCCGGCGCGAGGAGATGCCGCGGCCCCCGTTGAACGAGCGGATGTACCGGCGGAGGAGGCAGTGACGAGCCCGGGTCAGGGAGAGCGGCGTCGGCGCCAGTCAAGCCAGCGGGCCCCAAGATCGCCCCGGAGAAGATCGCCATAGGGATCGCAGCGGGCAAATCGACTGTCGAGCGCGTCCCGGTCAGCGCCCTCAAGGCCGCCTTCGACAAGGGCAGCGCCCGCGGGGCAGCCGCCGAGGGCGTCGTGGTGGCCGCAGACGAGAACGGCGTCGACGAGGGCATGGGCGACGAGCCCAGCCCGCGATCGGCCCGCCAGGGCCGAGATGATGAGTTTGGATAATTACCGTTGCATGCTGGAGGGGAAGTTCCATGCATCTCCCCAGGCATCCGGGGCGATCCATGCCCCGCCCCTCCATTGGGGCTAGAACCTAATCTTCGAGGAGATGGTGCCAGCCCCATCCCCAACTTGGCGGATGTCCGGGACCTTCTCCAGAAAAGGTGGGGATGGGATTTATTTGCCGATGCGGTTGCATGCGCTATTTTTCGGCACTCAGCTACAATCGCAGGTCTTTCCAAGCTGGGCCTTGGCCCAGGCATCCCACCTATGCGTCTGGATACCCACGCGGACGGCGCAGCTGGGGGATGCAAAGATTGGGGGGGGGGGGGGGATATCTGCACTTCAGCATGGTCTTTTGTTGTCACTGCGGCAGCGCGTGAGCGCGCGTGGTTATGGCTACTTGGGAGGTACTCCTGAGTCAGCACAAACACTGCGCCCTACGTCGTTACATTCAGCAGCAGCATAATATGAAGCAGGTATCTGGGCAACGGCATGGCTTATCAGCGCAGCAAGCAAGCTTCAGCACTTACCATTTGTCTGCGTGCGTACCGACAACGTACAAATTGTATTGAGTGCCTCACTAGGTGCTCTCAGAAGGTCCCCTCAGAGGCCTTCGATGGACTTTGGACAGCATGGTGCAGGTGCTGCATCGCATATATTCCAACTTGTATTGGGATCGTGTTCGGGGGCATTCCGACCGCGCATGGGGCGAAATAGCAGATGCCACAGTGCGTTCAGCAGCTATGCGCCTTCTCTTTCACCTGCCAGTTCCAAGATGGAGAGCGGAGCTCGACCTACCATGGCACCAGCAGGCGCTGAGGTGGATGTGGCTGGACTTCTTGGCCGTGGAGCGGCGCGCCCAGTTTCCGCGTGCCTCGGGCGCGCCACTCAGGCCGCCGCTTAGCGCCAGAATTTGTTTGCAGGATGGGCTACCTCCGCGTGCTACGCGCCAGTGCGAGGCAGTTGGCAACTGCCTCAAGTTCTGGGTTGCCACGGCCAACGTTCTCACTCTGCATCCTAGCATGTAGGATCGCCAACTAGACGACAGTGGGCCTGGTCCAGGTCGCATCATGCAATCAGCAGCTATCTCTGCAGCACGGGACTACTACATTGTTGGGATCCAGGAAACCAGGCTGCAGGCACGCGCACCACGGTATGTGGGAGAATGCGCAGTCTTCCACTTAGCAGCAACACCAGCAGGTACAGAAGGGTGCGCAGTGTGGATCTGGCAGCAAATCGAATACATGCCAGGTTAAATCACCAGGGAAGACATGTGCAGGGTCATGCACGCTGAGCCAACTAGGTTCGTCGTCTCCATCCGGGAGCCAGGCAGTTTGCCAAATGTCATAGCGTTGCGCGCTCGACGCTCCAGAGCAGGAGGCGCGGTAGAAGCGTCGGAGGCGCGCTTGAAGGAGTGGTGGGCAGCAACCACCACGCTGGCGCAGCAGGCGAGGCTGGGAGCAGAGCAGCTAATCGCGCTTGCGGATGCGAGCGCAGCGGTCGGCAGCGCGTTCTCCGGAGCAATGGGCTCTCGAGACAAGGATGGCCAACGTCTCCCAGGGGCGCTCTCTCACGAGTGCTTCGCGGAAGCCGACCTATGGCCCCCGTCTACTTCCATGCCCTCCTCCACGAGGCGCTCAGGAACCTGGGCAGCTCCCAGAGGAGATACTTCAGCCAAGAGAAGGGACTACGTCACTGTCTCAGGCGGCATAGCAGTCATGGAGCAGGGAGTGGAAGGCGCGATCGCCCGCGCCGTTTCAAAGGAAGATCACCAGGCAGCCAAGGCACTTGTCATGTTCCCACCCTCGGGGCACGTCCAAGAATGCTCGGCGCCGCGCAGAGTCCCGGATTACCCTGCTTTGTGCGATGACCCAGAGGCATGCAGCGAGCTCAAGAAGCTGCTTGCAGAGGCGCCGGCGGTGGAATACGACGTGCGCAAGCACAGACCACGCGCGCGTGCTTGATGCGCATGCTCGAGAAGCAATTCAACGAGGCTTTTCAGTGCGTAAGACGGAGCGGAAGGCAGCCACGGCAGTGCTGGATACATAATGGCACACTGGCAGCCATTGACCGTCGCACCACTCGCTTACGACACACGCGCGCACTCTGCGCACAGGTCGCCAGGCTCCACAAAGCGATGTTATTCTTCGTCTGGGCGAACTCTACACGCCATGGTAGGCGAGTGGGCGCTTGCATGTTTTGCGACCCGCTACGGTACGACCCCCCACTCCTGATGCACTGGTGGAACATGTGGAAGGCAGCATACGCGCATGCAGCACGGCACGTGCAGATTTCATCGAGACTTTCCGGGGATCGTTTCGACTCCAGCACCCGAACACCGCGACGCGCAAACAAGCCAAGTGATTGCGGATTGCGCACAGGACACAATCATATGTATTTTCCCTACCATCCTGAGGTGTGTGGTCCTCGTTTTGAAGAGACAACGCCCCGCGTCTCCTTCCTCCTCCCGCTGCCCACTCCCTCGCGCGCTTCGTGGCCCCACGCGTTTCGTGGCCCCGCAGGGAGCTTCACCGAAGGCCCCGGTGGCTGAGTTCGCATGCGGTTCCACCCCCCTTTTCGGCGCACACTTCGCACGTTTCGTGGCCTCATAGGGAACTCCACCGAAGGCCTCAGTGGCTGCGTTCGCATGCGGTCCCATTTCCCTTTTGGGGCGCCCCTCGCACGTTTCGTGGCCCCATAGGGAGCTCCACCGAAAGCCCCAGTGGCTGCGTTCACATGCGGTTCCACCCCTCCTTTCGGCACGCCCCCCACGCGTTCCGTGGCCCCACAGGGAGCTCCAGCAAAGGCCTCAGTAGCTGCGTTAGCATGCGGTTCCATTGCCCTCTCGGGGCGCCCTTCGCGCCTTTCGTGTCCATGCAGGGGGCTCCGCCGAAGGCCCCAGTGGCTGCGTTCGCATGCGGTTCCGCCCTTCATTTCGGCACGCCCCCCACGCGTTTCGTGGCCCCGCGGGGAGCTCCACCGAAGGCCCCAGTGGCTTCGGTCGCATGCGGTCCCATTTCCCTCTTGGGGCGCCCCTCGCACGTTTCGTGGCCCCACGGGGAGCTCCACCAAAGGCCCCTGTGGCTGCGTTCGCATGCGGTTCCACCCCCCATGTCGGCATGTCGGCACACCCCTCGCACGTTTCGTGGCCACACAGGGAGCTCCACCGAAGGCGTCAGTGGCTGCGTTCGCATGCGGTTCCACCCCCCATTTCGGCATGCCCCACACGCGTTTCGTGGCCCCATATGGAGCTCCACCGAAGGCCCCAATGGCTGCGTTCGCATGTGGTTCCACCCCCCATGTCGGCACGCCCCTCGCGCGTTTCGTGGCCCCATGGGGAGCTCCACCGAAGACGACGCTTACAACTGCGACATTGGCAACTGCATATGGTTGGGTCCTTCGCCCGGCTAATTCAGTGCCGCTTTCTGACTACGCGACCCTGCGCGGACGGGGCTTGCTTAGGACAGGGGGCAGGAAGCAGGGGGCTGATACAGTTTTACGGCTCGTTCATTGTATAACTGAGTTCACAGGCTGGCGCCACACAGTACTGCCGCTCACTAGGTAGCCAGCAACTTACACAATGGTCTATGCACCACACGGCAAATGCATTCGCTATTCTACGACGGATGGGAGCCGGGTCCAAGAAACGAGTACTATTAAGGTCGCTGTTTTTAGTTAGGCATTCCAGCGGCACGCTAGCCTCTGCGCGGACGGGGCTTGCTTATCTCTGTGCATTCTGTGCGCCGACTGGTGTGCCTGTTCTCAGGACAGGGGGCAGGAAGCAGGGGGCTGATACAGTTTTACGGCACGTTCATTGTATGACTGAGTTCACAGGCTGGCGCCACACAGTACTGCCGCTCACTAGGTAGCCAGCAACTTACACAATGGTCTATGCACCACACGGCAAATGCATTCGCTATTCTACGACGGATGGGAGCCGGGTCCAGGAAACGAGTACTACTAAGGTCGCTGTTTTTAGTTAGGCATTCCAGCGGCACGCTAGCCTCGTATTCGACTGCGGCAGCCGACACCTGGCTAAGGCATTTTGGCAAGGAGGAGCTTCGTGCAGTTTTTTCGTTCGCACATGCCCGGGCAGCCCATGACGTGCTCCCTCCTTCGCCGGAAGCTGAGGTCAACGGGGTGGCCCCCAGATGAAGCTTTTCTGCCACCGCTCGCTCAGTCTCAGACCGCCTGCGAGCGGTCGCGCGCCTCAGCTCCCAGCCTGGGCGGCATTTCGGGCAAGCTGCTGGCTAAGTTCGGCGCTGACTTAGGTCGCGTCTACTCTCCAGTCGCCACTAAGGCTGGACTGCGCATAGAGGGGCCAGTACAATGGAAGGGGGGGTGCTAGTGGAACATTTGAAAGCGAAGAGGAGATCCACCATGGCCCATCCATTCCCGATCCGTCATGGTCCCACAAAAGATTGGAAAGAAGTTTTGCCCCCTACTGCGCGCGCCCCTCGCAGACTACTGCCGGGGCAGGCTGGAAAAACGCAGTTCGGAGGAATTGCAGGCAGAGGCGTCGACCTCGCAGGATTCTCCTCAGATCGCTCTCCGACCTTGCCGAAGTGTAGCATGTTTCTATTATGTTTCTGCTGGTGGGCGCTGTGCAAGCTTATTGCAGACCGCTACGACAACTGGTCATGACTACGTGCAATGCGGTGGAAGATCTTGCCATGCTTCGTAAGCTTACAGGGCTGACGCCAGCTGCAATTCACCGCCTCGTGGATCGTTTCAGGGGGGTCGTGCCGCTCTGGACAAGGCCCAAGTAGGCCAGCATCTGGCGGTTCTCATGGCTCGTCTTACCACCGTTCTTGGTTCACCTACTTGGGATCTACTCTGGTTGCGTTTCTTACGACGGGGACGGTTCCTGGACAACAACTGGGGGACGTGGTTTTCAATTCTGTCTTGAGTGAATGTGTCAACCTAACCAAACAACGGTTTATTTCCCTACATATGCCCACGAGTATACCGCCATGAGAAGGTATGTCACTCGCCCAACTATCGGCACATGCACCAGCTACGACCACACATTCAGTGGACATATGTTTTTCTGGACGACGGTGTCTTTGCAGTATTAGGCTCGCCCATGCACCTCCTTGCCATTGCGTCATACGTTGCAGGCATTGTAGAATCAAGCTTCGTGGAGCGAGGGCTCCGACTCAACTTCGGTGGAGCTCCCCATGGGGCCACGAAACGCTGTGCTGGGTGGTGGCTGACGCATGCGGGCGGTGCCACCGGGGCCTTCGGTGGAGCTCCCTATGGGGCCACGAAGCGCTGTACTGGGTGGTGGCTGACGCATGCGGGCGGTGCCAAGCCTTCGGTGGAGCCCCGTATGGGGCCACGAAGCGCTGTGCTGGGTGGTGGCTGACGCATGCGGGCGGTCCCACTGAGGGCTTCTGTGGAGCTTCCTATGGGGCCACGAAGCGTTGTACTGGGTGGGTGAAACGCAGGGAAGAGGGAGGATGGGGAGGAGGAGGGGCGGGAATGAAGAGGCGGGAGGAGAAGAACGCGGGGCCTCGGCTCTTCAAAACGAGGACCCAACACCACAGGATGGTTGGGCAAAACAAGAAACTGTGGCGTCAACGAACTGCGCTTCTGACCCCGAACAACAATTGTTCCCGATACACACATATATATATATACACCTTGCAGTTTATTGAGACATCGCGCTCTCGCGCGCGACTTCCCCACAGTGTACGCAGGAATCGCGCTCTCGCGCGGGACTTTTTCGCAATTTATTCAGACGTCACTCCCTCGACACTCAGGAATCGCGCTCTCGCTATGGGTTTTTCATTAGTTAAATGTGAATCGCGTTATCGCTCGAGACTTCCTCACGATTCATGCAGTATTCACGCTTCAGCAACCCGCGTGTTCGACCTGGCCGCCTGGGCCCGCCTGCCCGACCCGCCCGTTTGGGTCTACCCCCCCGATCTGCCCGTCTGGTTCTGCCACGTGTTTTCTGCTCCTAGTTCTCCTCCTGCTACTCTCTCTCGTGCTCCATCCTCCTGCTTCCCCCTTGTCCCTTCCTTCCATCCGTCCTCTCTTTCTCTGCCTTCGGGGCTCAGCCAAACACAGGTTGCAGGAAAGAAAGATAGATCGCCATGGGTGTAGGATCGAAAACGAACATGGCGGGTATCGAGGGTTTACGTGCTGAGTGGCACGCGAGCAGATAAGAGCGAACAGTCCTAAAATGCTTGCTGTTGTAGTTGTTGCTGTTGTTGTCGTCGTCGTCGTTGCTGTTGTTGTTGTTGCTGCTGCTGCTGTTGTTGTTGTTGTTGTTGAACATTATTAATTCTAAAGAATAATTATTGTTGGGACCCCTGGTGCACGGCCCCCCTGCGCCGCCTAGGCCGCAGCTACATTTTCATCATTTTCGTGAGGAAGCCTCAGGTAAACGATGTGATCAAGATCCGGTTGTTTTGTTGTAATCCGTTTTCCCTTGCAAAAAACACTATAAAATGACATTTCTTGTTCTAATATAATCAAATTTCAAGAATCCCTTGCAAAAAATAAGGTAAAGTGGACATTCGCGCGCGCAAGACGAAATCCTTCCAAAAGCTTAGTGTTCGGAGCGATTTTAACATAAAAACATCAAAAAACCAATGGTTTTTCAACAAAAAAATGTCAAAATCTCATCCCGCGCGCTCTTGCGGATTCGTAGGAAACCCAACACTTTTTAAACATTTCTGTCAAACGGGCTTTTGCGAGCAACTTTTTCGAACTTCTGCGACAACGGTTGCGCACCTGCCAGGGCCATCATCCCTGTCAAATAATACCATGCGGGACACATTCGTTTTTTCTTCGCGCGCGCACGCCGAAATCTCCAAAAACCATTGGGTTCTTAAGAATTTTAGCACCGCGCATCATAAAATCACACGAATCGCACCGTAGGTCCTCGAAAAACACCTGCACGACTTTTCAAAATTTCCACCCGCGCGCGCTGTCCGAATCCTAAAAAAACAAGAAGTCATTGTAACCATGCGCCAGTGTAGTTGCCAAGGTCGTCCGCAGGCCACGAAGTGAAGTGTCCGAACGTCATAGGGCGGGAAGCTGGGTGTGGGTGGTGGCGAAGAGTCGTTTGGAAATTTGGTAGAGCTTGAACCGGCCCCCCCACAAAGTGGGGGTATTGCCCGCCTCCTATGAAAACCCTGGCACTGGTGAGAACGGAGTGTCCCCAGTCTTAAATGATTGTTGTTGTTGTTGTTGTTGTTGTTGTTGAGTTCTCACCATTGAATAATTATTGTTGACCCCCCTCCGGTGCACACTGCATATTTCAGTTGAAGTGCCCCTCCCGGCGCTCGCACTTTCTTTTTGTTGCTGTTTAAATGGAACGTCTTCCTCCTCAAACTGTGTTGGTGGCCCCCGGGTTGCAACAACAACGGCTCCCGTTTGAGACTTCCTCACAATTTGAGCCAGGACCCTCGCTCCCGCCTGAGACTTCCTCGCATTTTACTCAGGAATCGCGCTCTCGCTTGGGACTTCCATGCAATTTCTTCGTGAATCGCTCACTCGGCGCTCTGGAGTCGCACTCTCGCTGGAGTCTTGCTTGCAATTTACTCAAGAATAGCGCCCTTGCGTTGGAATTACCCGCAATTTACTCAAGCGCCGCGCTCCCGACATTCAGGCACCCAGGAGTCGCGCTCACGCTTAGGACTCACTCACAGATAACTTACGAGTCGGGATCTCGCTGCCCTTCGTGGCCCCTTCGATGCCCTTCGTGGCCCCGTTGCAGCCCTTCGTGGCCCCCTCGATGCCCTTCGTGGCCCCGTTGTAGCCCTTCGTGGCCCTTTCGCTGCCCTTCGTGGCCCCGTTGCAGCCCTTCGTTGCCCCCTCGCTGCCTTTCGTGGCCCCGTTGCAGCCCCTCGTGGCCCCCGCGCTGCCCTTCGTGGCCCCGTTGCCGCCCTTCGTGACCGCCTCGCTGCCCTTCGTGGCCCCGTTGCAGCCCTTCGTGGCCCTTTCGCTGCCCTTCGTGGCCCCGTTGCAGCCCCTCGTGGCCCCAAATATGTATGCCAATCGCGGCCCCCGCTCGCTCGCGCCCGTCGTGGCCCCACATGCATGCCCTCCGTGGCCCCGCTGTCGCCCTTCGTGGCCCCCTTGCTGCCCTTCGTGGCCCCGTTGCTGCCCTCAGTGGCCCCTGTCCTTGCCTTCCGCGGCCCAATATGCGTATGCCCTTTGTGGCCCCCGCTCGTTCGCGCCCGTCGAGGCCCCATGTGCATGCCCTTCGTGGCCCCGCTGTCGCGCTTTGTGGCTCCCTCGCTGTCCTACGTGACCCAGTTGCTACCCTCAATGGCTCCGTCGTTGCCTTCTGTGGCCCCGCATTATCTGCCCTTCGTGGCCCCCGCCCGTGCGCGCTCTTCGTGGCCCCATACGCACTCCCTTCGTGTCCCCGCTGTCGCCCTTCGTGGCAGGCCTACTTCGTGCCCTTCGTAGCCCTGCTGTCGTTCTCTCTCTCGCTCTCGCTTTCGCTCGTTGTCGTCGTCGTCGTCGCCGTCGCCGTCGTCGCCGTCGTCGTCGTCGTCGTCGTCGTCGTCGTCGTCCTCGTCGCCGTCGTCGTCGTCGTCGTCGTCGTCGTCGTGGTCGGTCCCCTGTCCGTCCCTCTTGGGGTCGGATTGCCGCCGATCAGCGCTGCCGCTGGCCAGGCCGACGGTCCGCGGCCCCCCCGTCGCTTGCTGGTGCCGGGCCTGCAGGGAAGAAAGGTATACGTACCCCCCAGAAGAGGGGTACGATCGAAGACGAAGAGGGCGGGTATCGAGGGTTTGGGAAATACGCGTTAACGGGCACTCGAGCAGATAAGAGGTAACAGTCCAACAAATGATTGTTGATGTTGCTGTTGTTGAATTTTCATTTCGGCAGAACAGTTATTGGCATTGGCCACTCGTACTGGAGCAGGGTGACCAACGCCAGCGTGCTGCAGCTGGCGGGGCGGATGAAGCTGAGCAGTGTCTTACTCCAGAGGCAACTGTGTTTGTTTGGACAGATAGCAAGATGCGCGGGAGGGCACCCTCTCCGAGACGCTATTTTTGACCCTCCGCCCCCCCCCCCTCCCCCTCCTCCCCTTCCCCCTCCCCTCGTCCCTCTCCCCCGTGCATACTAAAACAGCCGCCCGTCGCTAGGAAGAGAGGTCGTCCTAGGCAGACGTGGGCCGGAGAAGTCGGCAGGCACGCCGCTGCCGTCTGCGACGATTGCGGTTTTCCCAAAGAGAATATAGATGTTATCCCAGCAGACAGCTGGAAGACAGCTGTGCGGAGGTATTGCGCGCCACGCTAGCTTGTCTCAACTGCTCATGTGCTTGTCACGAGGCTTCGCAACAACAACAACAACTGAACAGTTATTGTTGATCCCCCTCTAGTAACCATTGTATTTTGCACCTTGTTTTTTCAAGGGAAGGTAATGGGTCACCAAGTTGTGCCCCGGGTCCCCGGTTTACAACAACAGCGGCTCCCGCCTGATATTTCCTTACAAGTTATTTCCAAACCTTGCTCTCGCGCGGGACCCCCTCACAATCTATACTGGAATCGCGCTTTCATGTGGGACTTGTTTCGCAATTTATTCAAATGCCGCGCCCTCGACACTCAGGAATCGCACTGTCGCCGTGTGTTTTTATGATTTATTTGTGAATCGCGGTATTGCTTCATACTTCCTCGCGATTCATGCAGGACTCAGGCTTCAGCAACCCGCCTGCTCGACCTAGCCGCCTGGGCCCGCCTTCCCGACCCGCCCGTGAGGGTCTACCCGCCCCCCGCGCCTCGGGGGCTCAAGCCGGAGTTACCCCGGACCGCAGTCATCCCGGATAACTCGGGCGTCCATGCCTCCCGGATCGTCAGGGCTGGGGGCAGCCAGGGGTAACTGCAGATTCGCGCCCCGGGGGCCCAAGCCGGAGTTACGCTGGACAGCAGTTAGCCCAGATACCTCGGGCGTCCAATCCGGGGGGAGGGGTGATAGAGCCCTCCCCCGTCATCGAGCACCCGACGTTCTCTCCTCCCTGCCAAGGTGGACGCCCGGCGGCCGCCCGCTGCTCATGTTCCCCGAGGGCACGACCGGCAACGGTGACCGCCTGCTGCCCTTCCGGCGGGGCGCCTTCGTGCCGGGTGCGCCGGTGCGGCCTGTGGTCCTCGTGTACACGGGCGCGTGGAATCCTGCCGTCGGCTCGGCCCGATGGGGCGGTGGTGATGGGCGGATCTTCGACCACCACTACCATAGATAGGAGAGGGAAGGAGGAGGAGGAGGAGGAGGAGGAGGAGGAGAGGAGGAGGAGGAGGAGGAGGAGGAGGAGGAGGAGGAGGAGGAGGAGGAGCACGAAGAGGAGCAGGAGGAGAACGAAGAGGATGAGGACCTCCCCATCTTCCCTTCTCCCCCGTCCTACCTCTGGTAGTGGTAGTGGAAAATTGCCCCATCAGGTGGGAATCCTGAGTCAGGTGCAACGTCCGTGGGCGGCGCCCGCACCCGCGGATGGGGGGGGAGGCGCGAGGGGGGCGGCCTTCTTGGGAGGCGGATGGGCTCTTGAGAAGGCAGGGGGGCTTCTTAGAAACCCTGCCTGCTTCCAAGACTTCAGGGGGCTTGTAAAAAGCTTCCAAGAAGCCTTCTCAGAAGCGCCCCAGCCCTTCCAAGAAACCCCAGCGCTCGCCAAACAATCGTAACATTCAAACGTAGAATAGAGGGTCGGAATACGTAGAGTAGGACAAGTGTAGAGTAGAGTGCAGTAGCAGTAGAGTAGAGTCGGGTAGGTTAGCGTAGTGTAGGGTAGGGTTGAGCAGAGTAGGGTTGAGGAGGACAGCGTGTGGTAGAGTAGAGTAGATTGTATTGTAATGCCGAGTAAGTTAGAGTAGAGCATATTAGATCAGACTTGAGTAGAACAGTAAAGAGTAGATCAGAGTAGAGTACGGTCGAGTCTATGAACATCAGTTAGAGCAGAGTCGAGTAGAGTAGTGGAGACCAGGAGTGACGCTGAGTAGGAGTAGGGTATATTGGAGTGCAGTGCACTGGTGTAGAGTAGAGTAGGGTAGTGTTGTGTCGAATATTGTGGGGCATCGTACAACATCGTAGAGTAGAGTAGGGTAGATGGTAGAAGATAACTAGGTAGAGCTCAGTAAGGTGGAGCATGTTATCGTAGAGTAGAATAGTACCGGGTGAGAGAAAAGTAAACTATGAGTCAAGTAGAGCAGAGTAGGATTAGAGTAGGACTTGAATAGAGTAGATCCGAGGAGTTACGGGTAGGGTCGAGTAGAGGAGGACAGAAAAGACCAGAGTAGAGTAGAACACGGTGGATGGTAGAGAATAGTCTCGTATAATACAGTGAAGTAGAGTAGAGTATTTCAGATCAGAGTAGAGGATCTATGTTTTCATCCGAGTAGAGTCGAGTAAGAGTAGAGAAGAGGTATAAGTAAAATGGGGTAGGTTCGGGAAGGGCCGGGTATTGTAGGGTATGGTTGAGTAGAGTATAGTAGAGTATAGTAGAGGGCATAATAAAGTAGAGTCGAGTTGTGGTAGAGTCTATTCGGGTAGAGTCAAACCGAATAGAGTGAAGAAGAGATTACGCAGGTCTTGTCCATTTTGCCCCAGTCCAACCTACTTTAGTCCACACCAGCTCATTTCAATCCAGGCTTCTGATTCATTTGGAGTCTGTGCTGGCTGATCTTGTCCTAGTCGTTCCATCCCTGGCCACCTTATCCGATCTGTTTCACATCATTCCAGCCCTGGACAGTTTTTCCAGCCATGACCACCTGCACATTTACAATCATTATAACTTCCATTTTTCCAGCTTGCCTGTGCAGACCCTTCGGGCGCAATGCATTGCGCACAGGCGCGCTGGATCCCAGGCGCGCCTCGCAATCTGCAAAGTCCCGGACGCCTGATCGTGCCTGGTGTCGTGAGTTCGCACGTCGCACAAACATGCTTACTCCAGCTTGTGTGCTGGCATCATGAATCGCGTCCCAAGCCGACAGAAAGCGTCGGCTCATTCAAGATAGTCTTGTTGAATGGCAGTGGGCGGGTTGCGAAGGAACGGTGTGTTAGTGCAGCACTTGGGGAAGTTGTAGTGCTTCTACGTTGGCTGAGGCCAACACGAACTTCAAGACACTCAACTCCGGCGAGATCGAGCTGACCGACGACGCAGAGTGGGGCTTGGAGTTCCTTGGGCACTTTATGCATTCCCTGCAGGTGAGGGTACTGAGACCCTACGTGCCGAATGAGGAGGATCGGGCGACGCGAGTTCTGATTCATCCTTCCTTTTTCGTCCGATCTTGGTTCGATGTTTATGCATCGTAGTTGTAAGGTGAAGCGCAGGGTATCCGTAAGTTATTATCTGAGCCTGTCGGGCAATTCTGGAGGAATCCGTGGTCACGGTATGACGACTAGATCTGGGCATTGAGTTTGGGCAAAAGTGTGTTGGCATGGATCTCCCTTGTCCCGACTGTATCCTACAGGCGGTGCCCTTCAACATATTAGAACGATGCGTTCAATTAAGTCATACCAGTCCTTTGGATTAGCTCACATCAGCCTTACAGTGCTATGGTCCGATCCGTAGTAGTTGTGCTGCGTTGTTGTAGAAGGCCACGGACACAGCGATCCTTACATGATTTTTGTTCAGGCGTGTTGTAAAGCTCCAGTGCGAGGCGTGCCGACGTGGTCAAGTCGTCTATATCGTGTAACGGGTTGGGCAGGGAGAGCCGATGAGGTCGGGGCTGCTGCTGCACTAGCTTTGCTGTTCTGCCTGGGCATCCTCAGATGCTCTAGCTTCGTGAAGCCCGCACCATTAACGAGAGCGATTCGGACGGCCTTCACATGAATCGAAACGAGCTGAATCATCGCAAGCATACCCAATTATGAACAACATGTGCGCGGCTTTTTTGATGCCTCGCTGCGACGGGCCTCAAGTCACCTTTCTTTGTCGTCTGCGTCGTCCTCCTTCCTTCTTCCTCCTCATGCCATCTGTGTCTCCTTCCGCCTCCTCCCTCTCATACTTCCTCGCCCTTTTCCTTTCGTTCCTCCTCGTCGTCCTCCTCCCTCTGTCCTGGATTTGAGTTCGATTCGCGTTCACGTTTCCCAGCGTATGCAGTACTGGCGGCCAGCAACGAGGTGTTCCAGCGACTGTGCCACTCATCATCTCATCATGGTTGTCCTCAGTCGGCCGTTGAGCTCTTACAGTCAATGCTAGGGCCACACCCGACTCGCCTCGCCAGAGGATGGCTCTCAGAGGATTTGGAGCGAAGGTGCCACCTTGAGGGGGAGGAGGAGGAGGAGGAGGAGGAGGAGGAGGAGGAGGAGGAGGAGGAGTAGGAGGAGGGTCTAGACGGCGAGGAAAGGGAGGGGTAGAATGAATGGGCGGGGGAGGTGGAGGGAGAGCTCGGGCTCCTTCGCGCTCCGCCCTCCCCTGCGGGCCAAGTCTGCAGGAGAGGGCGGACCCGGAGCTGTACGCCAGCAATGTTCACAAGTTGATGTCCGAAGCCTACGCTAAACTTCGAGCGGAGGCGGCTGCGACCACATCGACGCGCCTCGCCCTGGCGTCAACGGTCCAGACGTAGAAGCCGTGGTCAGTGTTTTTCAATCCGCGGCCCCCCCCCCCAGAGCTCTCGTGCCCGGACAAAAAGTGTCCACGCCGACGGCGTGAGGACAATCAGGCATGATGGCAACGACAATTACAATATACATGTGGCTCGCCCCCCCTCACCCCCAAGCCCAAAGTTGCAGTGTCCATTTCTTGTCCCCCGCGCGTTGCCTCGCACCCAACCCCGTTAACTTTGGGTTGGGGGGGGGGGCGGGGGCTATGGATGTTTGTTCGACGCAGTTCGATGTCGTATCATGTTGGCGCGATGGGTGTGGACACTTTTTGGCCACCCACCGTCCCGAAACATTCCATGGGACAAGTTTTCGCTTGGGATCGTGCAGACTTTCCCCAAGCAGTGGAGTTCCTACTTGTCTTGGTGAGTAACTTGTCCTCAAATAAAATCCTGTTTACCTTGATCGCGCACGGGAGTTCCTACTTGTCTTGGTATAAGTAACTGGGTGGGAGTGCTCCGTGCGCTAGCTGGGTGTGCCGAGGTTTCGCCCGGTGAGCGGCCGTGTGCGCGTCGTGGGTAGCACAGCGAGCACTACTGCTGCTGCCAGTTGGTTTGGGGTGCCCCTGCCGCGGTCCGCAGCGCGAGCACTGTTTTGTAGCGGCTGCAGTCACAACCGACGGCAAGCACCACGGCCTCAGGAAGGGGTCGGGGGCTTCCCTGACCCCCCCTTCCGGGTTCGATGTTTGATCACGGCGTGCTGGTGTCTCTTTCTGAGCTGCCGCCCTCTTGACGTTCTGCCTGCGGTGCCCTCCTTGTTCCACTCCCGATCCCCAGGTCCTCCCCCTCTCCTCCGTGTCCGACCTTCCGTTGTCCTTCCACTCGCGCGTGATCTGCAGGGAGTTTCCCCTCTCCTCTCCGATCCGACTGGCCTTGACGATCTGCCGGCGGGTGGGAATGATACCGCAGTAGGTGATCATCCTTCCAGATATTGTTGATGTCGACTGGCCGCGGCCATAACCCACTTGATGATGCCATGATCCCAACCCTGGGTTTATCTCAGCAGACCTTTGCCAACCCCGTGGAGAGGAGGGCGGCAGGAGACGCTCGAGACGCGGCGCCGAAGCGGCGTCACCGCCTGAGAAGTTCACAGGAGGATGACGGAGATTGGGACCCCACCCCCGACGCAGAGCCGATGCAGGAGAAGTCGTCTCGCATTTTCAGATTGGTGGCCCGTCTCGTTCGTCCGATGTCTTCCGTACTCGGGCGACGAAATCTACACATACATATCCATTGCCCCCTGGCTGGGCCCTTCATGGGCCAAGAAGCCGTGTATACGCCCTCCTGGCCAAGCCAGGAGTGCGTGGCGTGTACACCGCTGCTGGGTTCAGGATGTGCCTGGCCAGGGAGCAGTGGATTATATATATATATATATATATATATATATATTTGTATGTATGTATGTATATATATATATATGTATATATATGTATATATAGATATATATAGATTTCGTCGTCCTGTGTACCCACTCGGCATCTGCGCAGGAGCGACGTCGGGTACTTCTCGAGTCCGACGTTGTGCCGAGTTAGTGCTAGTGGTCGGGTACGCGAGCGCCGCCCGTCCCGCAACTCATGCCGGGAGCACAGCGGCTGTATCCCGTCTGCGTCCTCCACTGCTCATTCGCATTCGCCTCCTCGCCTCCTCCCCTCCTCTCCTCCCATGCTTGCCATCCTATGAGCATTGGAAGAGCTCGTAAGTGCCAAACTCCCCCAACAAACAAAACCCGCCTAGCCTTGACTGCCTCCTTGGTTGCCCATCTGGCCAGCGGGACCACGGACCCCGAATCTGGAAAGGAGCTGTGGAACATCCCAACTTTCGCCCCAGGTGGGGTGTCCCCTCCTCTCATCCTCCTTCCCTCCTTTTCTCCTCCCTTTCTGTTCTCCCCCTCCCTCCGCCGCACTGGTCGGCATCGGTCGGTACCGAGCCGGGAGTGGACGAGGAAGTGGGGGACGGAGTGTGCACGGAGGGAGGGCGCGGGGAGGGGGACAATGAAAGGGCAACCGAGAGCGGATAGGTGCGTTTAGGGAACATCGTCTAAGGAGGAGGGTGAATTAGGGAAGGTCATGCAGAGACGAATGATGATGATGCTGAAGATGCTGATGCTGCTGATGCTGATGATGAGGATCACGATGATGATACTGATGTTGGTGGTGGTGGTAGTGGTGATCACGGGGGGGATGATGAGGATCATGCTGATTATGCTGCTGATGATGCTGGTGGTGGTGGTTATGGTGGGGATGATGAGGCTGCTAATGATTATGACGCTGCTGCTGATGATGATCAGGGTGATGACGGTGATGCTGATGCTGATACTGATGATGGCGATAACGATTACGATTTCAATGGTTATGATGATGCTGCTGATGGTGATGATGACGATGGTGATGATGCTGACGAGAATGATGATTCTGATGATACTGATCATGATGATGTTGGTGATGATTATGCTGATGCTGATGCTGACGATGATGTTGATGATGCTGATGCTGCTGATGATGCTGATGCTGATGACGATACTGATGCTGATAATGCTGATGGTGCTGACGATGATGCTGATGCTGATGCTAATGATGATGGCGATGATGATGATGATTATTATGATGATGATGCTGTTGATGATGATGATGATGATGATGATGATGATGATGATGATGATCATGATGATGGCGTTGAGGATGAATAATGATACTATGGCGAGGATTCTGGCGATGATGATGGGACGGTGACGATGACGACCACGATGATATTGCTGCTGATGATGCTGCTGCTGATGATGATGATGCTCACCATGATGATGCTGTTGTTGATTATGAAGATGAAGCGTAATATTATGATGCAGACTATGCTGACGATGGTGATGATTATGATGATGGTGATGATGATGATGCTGATGCTGATGATTATGATGATGCTGATGATGGTGGTGGTGATGGTGGTGGTGAGGATGATACTGATGATGCTGCTGCTGATGATGTTAATGTTGAAGATGTTGTTGATGATGATGTCGATGATGGTGATGGTGGTCATGATGATGATGATGATGATGATGATGATGATGAGGAGGAGGAGGAGGAGGAGGAGGAGGAGGAGGAGGAGGAGGAGGAGGAGGGAGGAGGAGGAGGAGGAGGAGGAGAGGAGGAGGAGGAGGAGGAGGAGGAGGAGGAGGAGGAGGAGGAGGAGGAGGAGGAGGAGGAGGAGGAGGAAGAGCAGAGGGAATGAGTCACGGAATAAGTGAGTGATGAATGGGGATGAGGACGAGCTGAAGGAGGAGGAGGAGGAGGAGGAGGAGGAGGAGGAGGAGGAGGAGGAGGAGGAGGAGGAGGAGGATGAGACAGGTCGGGAGGGAGAGAGGGGGCATGGCGGGAGGGCGGACGGATACCCCTGGGAATGCGAGGACGGAGGAGGGGAGGCAGCTGCGCGCCGCGGGGGGCGGCCTTCGCTTGCCAGGTGGACGCGAAGAAGCGCGAGGAAACGAGCTGGCAGGCCCGGGAGGGCAGTCTGCACAGCCGCCCGCCCCCACCCGCCCGCCCACTTCTGGCCCCGACCCAAGCAGGAAGGCCACGTGTGCGGAGCCTCGACCTCGCCTCCCGTTCCAGCTGCGAAGCGTGCGAGTGCTGCGCCCCCCCCACCCAGTACAGCGTTTCGTGGCCCTCCTCCCCCTCCTCCCTGCGTTTCACCCACCCAGTACAGCGTTTCGTGGCCCCATAGGGAGCTCCACCGAAGGTTCCAGGTCTACCGTCCGCATGCGTCCCCCCGCCCAGTACAGCGTTTCGTGGCCCTCCTCCCCCTCCTCCCTGCGTTTCACCCACCCAGTACAGCGTTTCGTGGCCCCATAGGGAGCTCCACCGAAGGTCCCACTGGCACCGCCCGCATGCGCCGGCCACCGCCCAGCACAGCCCTTGCCCCTTGCGTTTCACCCACCCAGTATAGCGCTTCGTGGCCCTATAGGGAGCTCCACCGAAGGTCCCAGTGGCACCGCCCGCATGCGTCAGCCACCACCCAGCACAGCCCTTGCTCCCTGCGTTTCACCCACCCAGTACAGTGTTTCGTGGCCCCATAGGGAGCACCGAAGAAGATATTCGTAATTGCGGTACTCACAACTGCATATGGTTGGGTCCTTCGCCAGGCTAATTTTTGTTCGACTCCTGTGTGAGCTCCTGCGCGGCGCAAGACGAGGGCAGGCCGCTCGCCACCTCTCGACCCAAGGGGGGCGGTCGGAGGTCCAACTTGCCGGGTCCCCTTCCGCGAGCGCGCGGACGCAGGACACGCACGACGCAGTGGAGCGGGCCGACGGAGAGGGCGTGGCTCCAGGCCTCCCAGGTGGGGTCGGCGTAGATTGGCGTCGGAGGATCGCGCCGCACCGCCGATGCATCGGCGATGTGGCTCCATGAGGGGTCCGATTTCCTCTACGCCGACGTCGCCGCTGCATCGCCGCTGCATCGCCGATGCATCGCCGAAACATCGGCGATGCCTCCGCGAGGCGGCGCGATCCTTCGACCCCAGCTGCTCGGACCCCACCTAGGAGGCCTCCAGCGGCACTGCCGCGGCACCGGCCCCGGCAGGCGGCACGAGGCCCCGGCAGGGGGGCCCGTGGACCCAGGCCACGGCTGCGCCCCTCCGGGCCCATCCCAGGCTCGAGCACTGGCAGCTGGAGGAGGAGAGGAGGAGGAGGAGGGAGGAGGAGGAGGAGGCTTCTCCTCCTCCTCCTCTCCTCCTCCCTCCTCCTCCCTCCTCCTCTCCTCATCCCTCCTCATCTCCTCCTCCCATCCTCCTCCTCCTCTCCTCCCTCTCAGCTCGGTCGTCACCGTGCCCTGCGCCCGTTTGTTGGGCGCTCTGCCGCCCCGAGTAGCTTTCGGAGGTTGGCAGACCTCCTTCCCCAGTCACGTCGATTAGCGAATCGGCCGTTCCGTGTTCGGGTCGCGAGAGGGCGTCGCGGCCGTCATTCTTGCGGGTCCAGGTCCGTCGGTTTCGGTCCTAGGCCGCTTTCACTGAAGGGTGGTTTGCTAAAGGGAGGTTTGTCCACCGCCGAATCCTGGCGCCAACCCTGGTGCAGCCTCGTCCCATGTTCTTTCCCCGGAGTCGGGCGGCGCGCTGGCTGCCTCCACCGTGGGCTGTGGCCTCTTTCCCAGATCTGGGCTCATGTTTCGTATGTGCATGCGCTCAGGGCTGCATCAGCCTGGGTGGGCATTTTGGGTGGGTGGGCATTTTGCCACCTTGGGCATTTTGCCACCTTTGGGTGGGTGGGTGGGCATTTTGGGAGGGTGGGTGGGCATTTTGGATGGGTGGCCCCCCTTCTATCAGCCTGGGTGGGTATTTGCCACCTTGGGGCCGACCCTGGACGGCGGGCTCTTCGCTTTCCCCCGGGCTTTGCCACGCTGTCCTTTCCCTTCTCGCCCTCCCTCTTCTCCCCCCCTCCCCGCCCCCTCCCTCCTCCGCCCCCTGCCCTCCTCCCCCTCCCTCCTCCCCGCCCTGCCCCCCCCCCCCTCCCCGCCCTCCCTGCCCCCTCCTCCCGTCCTTTCCCTTTCCCCCCGGCCCCTCCTTCGCCCCCTCCCTCCTCCTCCCTTCCCCCTTGCGGGCTGCCGCGTCGTGCCCGGCCGCCGCTGAGGGGGCCCTCGCCTCGGCCTGACCCTCGGCGGCGAGCGAGGGGAGGAAGTGAGAATCTTGAGAAGGAGAAGGCCTCCTCAGAAGGCGGCGGGACTTCTCAGAAGCCCTCGTGCCTTCGGATCAAGTTTCTGCGTCTGATGGGGAGGTTCAGAAAGATTTCCAGAAGGTTTGGGACTTCCGAGCCTTCTGAGAAGTCCCGCCCCTTCCCACTTCCCCCCCAGGGCTCGCCGCCGAAGCCCGGCGCCCTGCAGGCAAAACCGTGGATTCTGGAGCAGCTGGCCGGGCTTGGGGTGATAAGTCATTCCGCCACGGCTCCCAGTGAAGAGTTTGGCCTCTGCTGCTTGCCTCACTGGATGGGCAGGCGGGCTGCCAGGGGGTATCGTGTATTGTTCGGCCCGCTCTGCCGCGCCGCAGGACAGCCGCTGCCTCTCTTCTCTTGCGCTGCCTCTTGCGCGTGGTTGTGTTCCTCCTCGCGCGGGATTGCCCTTGTGAGGGGCGCAGATTTCTCCTGCCCCTGGGCGGGTGTCGTTCTTCGCGGCAGCGCTATTCTCCGCCCTTGCTTCTTGGCAGCGGCAGCGGCGCTTCTCCTCTCCCATGTGCAACGCCCCTTCTCTGATGGCGCATCACACGATCAGACCACTCTGGGGACCAAGGTCCCCCAGGGCGCATCACGGATACAAGCGTCCCAGCGGAACGGGAAAGGGTGGGTGGGAGGGGGGGGGGGGTAGGATGTCAGATACGGTGCGAGCGCACTCGCCCAGAACCCCGACGTTGTGTGTGTGTGTGTGCGTGTGTGTGTGTGCGTGTGTGTGTGTGTGTGTGTGTGTGTGTGTGTGTGTGTGTGTGTATGTGTGTGTGTGTGTGTGTGTGTGTGTGTGTGTGTGTGT